CTCGGACTGTCCCAACATACATAGGTTTTGAACCCCTCTAAGGATCTCACTGATTGGCATATCAAAGATAGTCCAATCGACACCTAGTGTAGTATCATAGTCGAGTATAGGGGTCAGGTGTAACATTCCAGTTTTGTCCATTTATTTCCAAGGTCCAGGGCAATACGGGAATTTTGGTTCGGTTCAAGGTTTTAAGAAAACCCACATTGCATGTACCTCGGGACTCACCCTAGCAGCTGAGACAAGCCACCCCAACCAACTTGGCGGCACATCAGTGTCAGCCTTGACAAAATAAATCTCCCCAGATTTATCCAACGGCTGTGAAGATTCTAAACTAACACGAGTCTCATATATGTTCAGTTTAAGGGTATTATTACACAGAAATATATCATAATAACATGAATCAAATATGTACTTTATTCATTTACAATAAATATCATAATGTACATCATTCTGATTGGAACTAAGGGCATATACTGTTTAACATGTTGAACTGAATTCACTCAAATTAATATATATATAAACCTCTTTCTTTTGTACAGGTTTCACACAAACAAATGTTTCTCTGAGTCTCCAAAATGACACCAAATAATCCAAAAGACTGATACCTTATCAACGACGACGACCAAATGCATATGGACATTTAATTCTTTGCAACAGTCGTAGGGGCTTATCGCAATCGTTAATCACTTATCGATGCCAAACATATACTTAGTCACTTGGTCATTGATTACTGTTATGTTTCGCAGGTTGGTTTCCTCGTATGGTCGTGATTCAGGGCTCTGATCGTGGTCTCCACCATGTTGAACTGAATTGCATGTTCTTACATCCTCTATTCCCAACCTTAGACTTCACGGCAACGTTATTATAGTCAAAATCTCCAAAGGTATCAAACTTTACTGATGTATAGGCCAAGACCATGAGTATTGAACAATATTGAACCGCTATTTGGGTTGGGCCAATAATACTACACAATGCCACACGGTTAGTTCAACGTGGTCAAGACGGCATTAAAACTTTTGGACAATCTTTCTATGCAATTTCCAAGCTAATGGGACATGACTGATGTTAGTTCCAGGCAAATCCATTGACGTTCTAATTCAAAACATGCGGATAAGAGAGAGAGAGACAAATGGAATGGAAGGAGATGGGATGTGCTTGAGCTTTGCTCTTCTTTGCAAAACACAATACAAAACTCTCCTTCCTTTTCCATGCGATTGGAGTGTAATGATCTGCCCCTCTAGTTTCTATGCAATTAAGTCGCCAAGCACTTACAAGAGAAAGAAATTTGGAAACGAAATTAACTAGTGAAGTTATAATTGAAAGTGATAAGGGGCGATTTCGCCCTACAGTACCACGTGGCACCATTGAACTGTTGTATAACATCTCAGTGTCACATAGGCAGCAAAAAGCACCTCGGCTAGGGATAACTTTGGGTGGTGTACGCACCCCAGTGAGATCTCACCACGGACCTCAGCAAGAGGGGCGACCTCCCCCCGAAAACTGACCGACCAGATCGGGATCGAGGTGGTGGCACAAATGATGTGGTGACTGATTTCTACTCGTATAACTAAGGTTTAAAATTTTGATACAGGCCAATAAGTTGGTAGGGGTGTATCAACCTGTATGGAAGCTTGCCCACCTTTTTTTCTTTGAAACTGGTTTAGAGGGGTCAGTCTAAGGCTAGTTTACCCCTTGAAGCATGTCACACTCCAATACGACCCCTGTAGGGGTGGTGTATTGTTAAGCCCTCGATACGATACTAAAATTTTGAACCTTGTATACAATTTATCGCCTCCAAGTCCTCTAGGATCTCGTCGTCTTACCAATGAGGATAATCTCCATGCTGCCCGCTTCGGAGATAACCAGCTAAGCCTTACCACTATCCGTGCGAACTACCTTCGAGTGTTGGGGGTCGGTAAGCCATATCCACTCGGAGATCTCGGATGTGATACGTGAAACCCACAATCGATTACCTGTGCCTATATATAGGCGCCCCCTTCAACTAGAGAAAGTATGCGTGATTTATCCCTCAGAACTCTCTTGCTGTCTCGCTTTCTAACTCTCTCAAAATGGTATCAACCTTATTGAAAAACGTGTATATGTATGCAAGACATCCTGAGATTTTAATCCAAAACAGAACTGGATACGGGCTCCACAGGTAACAGATTTTCAATATGACTGGAGTATATTAATGTCACACACACACTAAAGACTTTCTCAAATTAGAATGAATTTTAGATGGAATAAAATTGTCCGGCCCTTTTTAATAATGAACGTTTTAGGATATAAATGGTTATTATCTTATTTACTTGAGAAACAAAAAAATATGAATTGAATAAATACATTAATTTATCCGGATAAATAACTTCCTAAAAAATAAATACGGTCTAAGATCGTTAAATTTGTGACCATCACAAGGAGGAGTATATATATATTCACACCACTAAAAGAAATTCATTATGGATACCCTTTTTGCATTGACAATGAAATTAATGAAAGAAAATGGAGACAAATAGTTTAAATTCTATGATGGAGCTTCTTTCATAACCAATTAAGTTTAAAATTATATCTGATTTTGTTGGTGAACATAACATGGGAAGGGATCGATCATGTACATAGTGGAAGCATAAAAACTTGGATGAGGGCGAGACACATATGTTATATAGAGTCTGGATTCAAATTTCTTGGATGAGGGCGAGACACATATGGAGTGTTGAATTCTACGTGGTTTAGACGGCATTAAAAACTTTTTTACTGATCACCAAACAAACATTGGATCTTTCTATTGCAATTTCCAAGCTAGCTAAGTAACCAGCAGAGTATATCAGTAGGAATTTAGGAGTGTTGACGTTCTAACCCAAAGGTTCGACTATGATATAGAAAAATATGATATCTGAAAAATAATCGATCAATAAATTGGAATCATAAACGTGGTAGCGAATCAGGTATTATTTATCAAAATTAATGGGTGGATTTTGATTGGTTAAAACTCTTTCTATATCATAAATTTTCCTATCAAACAAACATCAACATGAAAAAATGGGTCAAGATAGGACCAATTTTTCCTGATGTTTCAACCCAAAATAGGACCGGATATAGGCCACTGGTTACAGATTTTCAATAAGAAATTAAGAATCGCATTAATTTAATTTGGTCTGGACCAATCTGACCGTGTATTAATTATCCATTGTGTCCCAACCATGGTTTTAAAAATGAATCGTAAACAGAACCGGTCAGGGGACCGATTTCTAGTTAAGCAGTTCAACCGTCCGGGTCGAACGGTTCGACCCATGACATCATAAATAAATTAAAAATAAAAAATATACTTATAAATAATAAAAAATAGCATAAAATTAAATAAAAACAGAAAAATACAGAAAATAAAACTATCTAAATAAAAAATAATACAGAAAAATTCTAAAAAATACAGAAAAAACACAAAAAAATTCAAAAAATACAAAAAAATAGCTTGAAATAAACCCTTAATATCTACAAATAAACCCTTAAATCTTTATCTAAAAATCAGTACTCACTAACCAAGGGAATGTAAAGTCAGCTAATCTTCAATTTTTCTTTTGTGATAAATCCTTCAAAAATAGCTTGAAACATTTAAGAGAGAATATTGATAATACCTAGCAATGTTGTAAATGCAACATACTGCAACTTTTGTAGATGGAGTGGTATTTCATTTGCAATGTCATGATGAATAAGGGGGGAAAATGACAGCCAGTTTTTCTCCTCTATAACAATTCCAGCTGTGAAACAAAATAGAGTATTCAAAAACTGTGGGTTAGAAAGAGTGCCGGTAATGCTGGTGTGACAATGGGCTTGCCGCTGGTCGCAAGTAAGTTGCCACTGCAAGTGCTGCTCCAACTTGCAGAATCACCAATGGTGGTGTTATTACCACTACAAATTCCCCGCCCGCCGCTGTAAACTCGCATAGCGCAATTCTTACTGCTGGAGCCTGGAACTCTGGAAGTGCTGCAAAATACGCTAGCCACTGCTGCAAACTTGCCATCACCGGTAGCCGTTAATCGCCATTGGTCAGTGTGTGTCGCCATCAAACGCCGGAGGTGCTGACCAGCATAGGTGATCGGTTGGTGTGAGGGTTGAGAGGAGAGAAGGGTTAGAACGAAAATGGGGTTATAACCCTAAAGGGCCTTAAACATTCGATTTTGATTTGGGGATATTCAAGTCATTTTATTTTTTGTTTTTTGTTTTATTTAAAACAGTAAAAATAAAAAAGATAACCCGTGAACCGCTGCCTAGGTCGAACGGTTTAGCGGTTTGACCGCCCGGGTCAGTGGTTTTCTAACTTTTTCAACGCTTCTTAGAAATTTCTGGTTTCTGGTATAACTGGACCCTAGGAGCTGACCGGTTACCAGTTTTTCCGATCCAATTGTCCAATCCGGTCCGGTTTTGAAAACAATGGTCCCAACACCTGCGTTTGAAAAGAGTCAGTTGTTATTTTTCTCTTCCAAACGTTGGTGTGTGTGTTTTTACATTTCATTGTGGTCGCATGCGACTACGGTCGCAGCAGATTTTTTTCTCCCAACATGTGACTTGCATGAGCCTATGTTCCTGCCGCATTGGTGTGGAGTTGAGTTAAATTCAAATCCTTTGATTGGATGGCAAATGCATTCAAACCACTTTTTCAAATGACATGATCCATGAAATACTGAAATCAAAGCCTTTGATGCATTAATGTAGGTCCATGATTCACGATTTTAGTCCTACACTAAAACCGTGTCGCAGCAAAGTTGTTGAATTATTCAAATGCATCGGAATTATAAAGTCTAGACCATTATCTATTGCAGGATCATATACTAAAACACCCCCTATAGAACAATGGTCTATTAATTTCCTTATTTGCTCATAGTACACAATGTAACAACAAGTGCTTACATTTAGGACATACAAATACATACAATATTAAAACAGTACACTTAATTATATATTGCCAGCACCGATCATGAAATAACTCCTTGTGTAAAACATTAGACTCTTTCAAATTTTAATTTTCTTTTCAGGCGAATGACACTCGATGCAATTACTAGGAAAACCCAATCTTTCATATCATCCAAGAGATTGAAATAGGCGTGCCTCCATGTCTTCTTCAAAAGTAGAGTGCCACAAACTCCCCAAAAACCTACCACAAATCCTGGGAGAATGCTTATGTAAAACCATTGCATCTCAGAATCAGAAGAATCATTGTCTCCATTAGCATCATTAACAAAGGACGTTGGACCCTCAGAAGATTTGTCATCATCCTCACACTTTCTTGAAAGTGGTAACCCACAAAGATTGGGATTATCGGCATAAATGGAAGAATCGTTGAGTGTTTGGAGCTGGTTGCCTGATGGGATCCTCCCTGATAGGTTGTTATAAGAAAGGTCCAAATGATTCAGGGAAGATATGGAAGATAAGCTCTGAGGAATCTGGCCAGAAAGTTGGTTTCTTGAGAGATCAAGAGTTTCTAACCATTTCAAGTTACCAATCTCATCTGGGATATTTCCTGTGAGTTGGTTCATTGATAAATTCAACGTTCCCAATCCTGAGAGGTTTGTGATACCATCAGGAATCTTCCCTGAAAGATTATTGCTGGAAAGATCTATGCTCCTTACGTAACAAAGAATTCCGCCATCATCAATATATTCATCTTCTCTTCCCTTTGCTATTATCATCATGTGTTGGTCATACTCCATGTTGATTTTCTTAGTCTTAGGAGAGCTTAAACCAATGAAAGCACTCAAATTGCCAAAACACATAGGAATGTGACCTGACAGATTATTATGAGCAAGGTCTAAGAAATGAAGATAAGAGAAATGACATAGTTGTTTTGGAATATCTCCCAAGAATGAATTTGACCGTAGGCGTAGAAACATCAAGGGAGCACTGATTTCTCCAATCAATGTCAGCAAGTTTCCAGATAATCTGTTCTCGCCAAGATCAAGGCTGATTAGGGATGTACAATTCTTCAAGGATGGTAGCTCCCCAATAAAGCTATTGTTACTCAATATCAACCTTTCAAGTGAAGCCAAAGAACTGAATGAACTAGGAATAGTACCCGTTAGTCTATTGTTGGCCAAGTCTACAACCAATAGTTCTTCTAAATCCTTCCAATCCCAAGGGAGTTCACCAGATAAGTGGTTGTTTGAAAGAATAAGAAAATTTAGGGGTTTTGTTTTAGTTATGGATGGGGGAATGCTGCCACTTAAATTGTTCCACGAAAGATCTAAGATTGTCAAGCACGATGATATGTGACCAATATTGGGTGGTATAGGACCAGAGAACAAGTTATTTCGAAGAGCTAGTGTGGCTAATGGCGTAGGCCTAAATCGCCAAAGTGGGAGTGGACCCTCTAAGCGATTGAAGCTTAAAACCACACTAACTCCCAGATCAAGGCTTAAGGAGTTTGGCACCTTTCCAGTTAATTTGTTATAGGAGAGATCCAAAAGTGCTACAGACTTTGACAATAATTCCCAAAACCAAGTGGGTATCTCGTCAGAAATGCCAACGTTTGTTAAGGATATGGAGAAAAGCTGGTTTTGAGAATGGAGCCATGAAGGAAAACGAGGGCCCAGTTGTAAGTCAGACATAAGGAGATACTCTAGACTGAAAGGAGGAACCCAATCATGTGTTACATTAAAAACCAGAGATTTTCCTGATGAAGAGGATATGTATAATGCCTCTAACCTTGTGAGGTTTGTAAAATGATGTTCTGAAAGAACACCTTCCCAAGAATTGTCAGAGAGACGAAAGTAAACCAGATGTGAGAGTTGCCCAACATTTACTGGAATGGCCTCATTCATTTGATTATATGAAAGGTCTAGCTTCTGCAAACATGACAAGTTTCCGATGGATGCAGGCAGAGAACCAGCTAATTGATTTTCAGAAAGGTCTAGGTTCTCCAAAGAGGACAAATTTCCAATGGATGCAGGCAAAGATCCATTAAACTGATTAGACCTTAAATCTAACATCTTTATCCTCTTGCATCTCACTAGGATATCCACAAGTTTGTCTACCTCACAACCAATTCTGTTACCTGCCAAAACTAAACTTTGCAATTGGCAAAGAGTTTCCTGGGCTCTTGGTGGCATACTGTCAATGTTAAGATTGATAGAGAAATTAGGGTCATTGGGAAGATTGTGGCCAAAATCAAGATTAACAAGGCTACTGGCATTAAGAAATTATACAAGTATTGAGATATTGAGAGAGTCACCGGAGAGATCAAGGTCCAAAAGGGATGTAAGGTTGACAGATGGATTCTCACAAAACAAATAAGTTCTACTTGTTAGACCATGTTTGATGATTAAGTACTTGTTTGGTAACCCACTTTAGGTTGTTCGATAATCCATTTTTTCAAATCACTTATTATGTTTTTAAATATTTATTGGGGTGGGAATATTTGGTAAACTACTTTCCCCATAAGTGCTTATATTTATTAAAATGACAATTTTAGCCCTCACTTCTCTCATACACTACTTTTCAAAATAATAATAATAATAATAATAATAATAATAATAATAAGACGATGAACAGGGGGAAGGTTGTTGCCGCTGCAACTCCCTTATTCTCCCTTCGAGCGATAAAGAGCGCCGACAACCTCTCCTTAGTCTTTCTCTCCTTCTCCCTCTCTCTCTCTCTCTCTCTCTCTCCTTTTCTTCTTCTTCTCCTTTGTTTTTGTTCTTCTATAACCACGAATAAGACATTGTTCATCTTCCTCTCCAAAAGAGAACCAGCGGCGGCTGAACGTCTCTCTTTCGATTCTTCGACACCCAAAAGGCGGCGACGACTAGATCGAGCTCTGTTTCAGAAATCTAAGATCGAGCTACGAGCTCTATTCCAGAGATCTGAAATCGAGCTACGAGCTCTTTTTCAGAGATCTAACTTCAAAGCAGAGAGGAAAGAGGCCAAACGGTAGGTCCACCGGCCACGGTTCCTCACCGCCGATCGTCGCTGATGGACCTGCAACTGGTGCGCCACTGTTGCTAGGGTTTGAGGATCGAATGAGTGGAGAAGGGGGAGTGGGGTATTTTAGTCATTATACAAATTTGTCAGGGACTGGTTCGTCCTAATATTTTGGAGAAGTACTTCTTCAAGAAGCACTTAAAAAAATAGCCAACTTGAAGCCACTTTTTCAAAGAAGTACTTTAACTTCTTTAAAAAAATTAATTTTTCCCCACTTTTTTACCAAACACCCATAAGTACTTAAAAACCACTTAATGTATGGTCCCATGTCTTAAAAGAAGTACTTATTAAAAGTGTTCTCAAACAGGGCCTTAGATCTACATCCAATACTTTTAATAATATAAAATACATATTTTTTTAAATTTACCCAAAAATAAAACATTTTTCCATCATGACGGCAAGTAATTAATTAAGCAATTCAACCATCCAGGTCAAGTGAGCTAATTCATGATGTCATAATTAAATAAAAAATTTTAAATATAAATAAATAAAAAATATTGAAAATTGGGCACATCTCTAATGCTAATATATATAGTGACTTAGTATTTGAAGTTTAAAGCTCTATGTCTTAGTAACTAGACTGTACGTATTAGTAAAAAGGTTAATTACTTATATATAGTATGTATATATATACATTGAACATTTAAAAACAACTTACATATACCTTGTTGACCTTTCCAAGGTTAAGTCCAACAGATAAAATGTAAAAGACAAAAATATCATTAACTTGTTCATTACACTTTCAAAATATGCCACTTTCTTTCTTTTTTCTCTTGCTCTTCCTCCTCCACTGGTCTTACATTTGACATAGGAGAGGATACTTGGTTACAGCAAAGGTTCTCTCAGAGCGAATCATTGTAAAGCACCAAAGGCAGCAAGCACAAGCAGCAACTCCCAAAGAGTGCTTCCTACATCTCTATTCGGTGGTCTTGAGGCCTCCAAGTATGCTATCCATCTTGGTCCCGGGGAGACCCCACATTTTTAGTTTCCTGTTGCTACTCCCATTTGCAAACTGGATAGAGGAAATTAAAAATGACCTCTGAGGATTCCATTGTAACAAGCCATTTGATTTGCAAGTTACAAGCTTGATTCAACATTCTGAAGTATAGCCCATGTGTCTCAACCAAGTCCAGGAGTAATGAACCAATGAACCAATGGTTTGTCCAATGTTTGATGGGATTGCAGTAGTAATGAACCAATGAAAGGGATTTAGAGAGAGAGAGAAAGTAGGGGGTTACCACTTGGTTCATTGGGGATGATGAAGAGAAGGAAAATGATTTGTCCAATGTTTTGAACACTTAGGGGTAATTTTGGTATTATGAAATATTTTGTAGTGAGCTATTAACGGCTCTAAATGGTGCAATGATGGAAATCTCGTTACGTGGGGCCAATCAACATGGCATGTATAAGTTGATTTTTAAAGTTTTTTTGTAAAACAAAATGATATTTGGAAACAAAAGGAGGGCAGTAAACACAAGTAGAATAAAACAGAAAAATTAAGTAGTAGAATAATTCAAGTCCGCAACAATCCAATATGCAAGCTAGTGGCATGGGGGCAACATCAGTCCAACAACCAACTTGGTGAAGCCCTTTCTGAGCAGCAGCATGGGCTACCTAATTTGCAAGTCTCTATACCCAGGAGAACCTAGCAGAGACATCCTCAGCTAAACATAAGCAATCTTGAAACTGAAAGTGAATGTCACAAGGACAGCCATACACCTGATTTAACAGATTGTTAACAAGGTTTTTACAATCACTCTTAATGATTATATTCTTTAAACATAGTTTTTTTTTTTTCCAAAAATTAAGCCCTCCAAAACTGCAATGGCTTCAGTCCAAGCTGTAGAACACACTAAAACAGGACTAAACTTGGTAGCTAACAAAGCACCATTTGAGTCACGAACCACCATTCCTAGAGGCACAGAGCTAGCATTAACAAAAAGACCCATCAACATTAATTTTTACCTAGTTAGTTTACTTGCGGAGGGGACCAAAAATAATGGGCTCCATCTGAATTGTTAGAATGGAGCTGTATTGGTAATGATGTAAGATCCATCTTCTAAAGTTCCACACTATCTATCTTGCAACCCTATCAATGACCAAATCTGGATTAGGATTAGTATCATCAAAAACTATGTCATTTCAATGAAGCCAAATATTCCAAATCCTCAAGGCCCGATAGGCCTTCAGTTCATCCTTCCTTTCCTTGAAGGAGTTATAGGTTTTAAAACAAGATTTCAGCCAATCTCTAAAAATAAGGAAGTGAACAACTTGTTGTCTCATTAGCTTCCAAACCAATAGCGCTTTGCTACTTCAAACAAGCATAAGGCATGAAGGATTGATTCAACATTCTGGTAAGAGACTAGGCATTGAAGATTATTTGTAATTTTCCTTTTAAAGAGGTTTTCCTTGACTGCCATAGCATATATCAGAGGAAACTCCTAAATTTTGGAGGGACTGGAATGGACCATATATCAAACCATAGCTTCATATCATCAGTCCTACTGGATGGGGTGGAATCTGCTAGGTGTTTTGCCACGAAATATGAAAATATGACAGAGAAAATTCATTTTTTTATTAAAGTCCAAATAAGCTTACCATCCCATTTGAAAATAGGAATCTTTTGAGATAAAATTTTCTTAGCAATGGGGGAATGAAAAGAGAATTGACTAGTGGAGAGTTCCATTCTTTATAGTTTGGAAGAAAGAGTTCTTCAACCTTTGAGATTCCTTGGCTTTCAAGTCTAGGACCCATGATTTTGAACCCTGGCACTTCTGGGAGCTAGGGGTCATCACAAATTTCAATGTTTTTTTCTTGAACCCACCGGCTAGCACACTCCATCTCTAAAGACTTCCTTTCTAAAGGAAGGGTTAGGATCCATCATATGGATGGCCAGACCATGCTAGATGGTTGGAAAATTTTTCAAAAATTTCATAATCCTTCTGGGAATTGAATTTCCTATGTTTCAAAAAACTGTATTTTTTAGGATCGATCTTTCACTGAACCGGACCAGATTTGAAACCAAACAAAGAGGGAGATGTATACCTGATACGGATACCACAAACGTAGATCCCAAGGTGGAAGTTCGCTCCCAAATCAGTTCTCAAACCAGGCTCCACTAAACATGGCGTAGTGTGCTCCTAAAGTCAGTTCAACAACGCAGTTTTCAACAAAACTACAATCCAACTGCTTGGATTGAACTGGGGAGGTGAGCACAAAATTCCTTTGAATTTTTTTCTTGCAAAAATTAGAGGAAAACTAATCTCTATCAGCCCCAAATAAGTTGTAGTTGAACTAAGGTTTCTTGGAAGACAGAAGAAGAAGAAGAAGAAGAGAGAGAGAGAGAGAACAGAATTGAGAGGTGTTCTTGATCAGTTCACCCTATTCTTCTTTTATCTCTTTATGGAGCACTTCTCATAATCTAACTAAGAGCTTATACAAAAATTTGGATTTGAACTCTATTTAAAGATAAGCCTTATCCTCTTAAGAGGATAGGTGCTTCATACCCATTTCCAAACCCATATTGGCTCTATGTCACATGACAACTTAATTAATCATATTAATTATGGGCTTTAGGCCCATCATCTATAAAGCTCACAACCCAATGATGTTGCATGGACAACTTAGGCCTGATTTGTATGACTTCACATAAATCCACATGGGTTCGGCCTAGCCGAATTCACTACTAAATGCAATGAACCCTTGAGAACAACACCATGGCATTTAATGTTGCCTTAATCATTAATTCCTTGCCTACATGATTGAGAAGTTTGCTTTTCCAACTTGCAATCTTCCTTTCCACTTTATTGATTAAAAAGTAAAACATCTTCATCTTCGATCTAGAAAAGTGAGATGGAAGGCCTAGGTAAAGTAAAGGTTTTTTTAACTCTCCTGAAGTTTACACTTCTAGCAATGACTTTTTGAATTCTTGGGTGAACATTAGAGCCAAATGAAACTTTAGATTTACTTGGGTTCACCTTTTGTCTTGAGGCTCCTTCATATGCATAGATAGCTTCCAAGACCTTTTAACCTTCCCCCAGATCAACTTTTATGAAAATAAAGTTGTCATCTACAAAAAAAACAAATGAGAGATGGTTGGACATTTATGATTCATTTTCGCCCCCGAAAT